ATTGTTTTCTTGGCGTTCATTGTGGCATACCTTTTGCGTCTGGCGCTTTGCTGGCAAAGTTATAAATGTCACGCAAAGCTACAAAGTTTTATCTGGCATCAGCTTTAACGTTAAAAATGCGCTATCGGCGACGAGCACCCTTTAAAAAAATGTGGCGTTCACTGTAACCTGCTCATAGAAGCAAACGTGAATACCACATAAGTTAACAAGAAGAAGATTATAAACACGAGGAGAAAATTTTATAGTTAGCAGATTTCAAGCGTGTGTAGTCAATACTGTAATTTATAAAATAATTAAAACAATAGTTCTCTCAATATAAAACAAAAAAATACACTGTTATAATGGGTAAAGCCAAGAAGAAATCACATCCGAAAAAGCGTACCGCTGCTTTCAAGGAGAAGGAAGCAAGTGAATTGGTTGATGCGCCACATTCTTTTATTATACATCGTGGTCTTTCCTGTCCCTATATAACCGACTTAACTTTGGATTTTCGTAAAATAATGGAACCATTTACGGCATCCCAGTTGAAGGAAAAGAAAATGAATCGCATTAAAGATTTTGTGACAATGAGTGGTTACTTCCATGTCTCCCATATGGGCATATTTAATAAGGCCACATCCCAGTTGTCTTTTAAAATAGTGCGATGCCGCGTGGTCCAACGTTAACTTTTAAGGTAGGATGAATCAAAAATTGTTCTAAATCAAGAAATAACGCATAAAACCCACTTTCTTGGCAGGTACACCAATTCACATTGGCGCGCGACGTGCTCTCGACCAGCAAACGGCAATATGTGGATGATGATATGTTTAAAAGTTCGCCGCTGGTTATCATGAATAATTTCACAGGCTGATGGCAAACATTTGAAGCTAATGGCCAGTACGTTCCAAAATATGTTCCCTGCCATAAATTTGCGCAGGTATGTAAATAAAAGCTGAACAGAATGCTGTTGTTTTTGATTATTATTATTATTTTTTTTTAATTTTGCTCTTATAAAGGTAAATATAGCCACAATTCGGCGATGTGTGCTATTCTCGTATACGCGCGACACAAATCTAATAGAAATGCGCCATTATTCAGTGCAAGTAGTTCCTGTTGGTTTGACGCGTGGCGTTAAAAAGCTTGTTCATGGGAAAAATTCCAAATTTATCTAAATGCGAAGATATCGCTGATTTCATAATGCAGTAAGTTTGTGTTTAGTATTCCATTCTTATTATGTTGAATTTTTACATAAATCTCATTCCAATCCAGAGACGGTGCTGCTTCAGAATCTGAAATGGAAGACGATGAACATGCGCAGGTCGTACTGCCACAAACACTGAAACGCAAAGGTAACTTAGAAGACAATAAGTCGGCAGTTCGTTTGTATGAAATCGGCCCACGTCTAACGAATGCAGCTGATGAAAATCGAGGAAGGTCTGTTGACTGGCGAAGTACTTTTCCACGACCATATAGTCAAGACGGAGGATGAAAAGGAAGCTTTGCGTAAAATGGTAGAGAAGAAACGCAAACTCAAAGAGTATCGCAAAAAGGTGCAGGAAGACAATCGAGCGCGTAATATACGCACGAAAGAGGAAGCAACAGGAAAACATAAGAAACCTAAACTCGAAGCAGCAGCTATTGGAGATGAAGCGAAAGAGGATAGCGAACCTGAAAATGATGCTGCATATTATAAAGAGGAAGTTGGCGAAGAGCCTGATGAAGGTGAGCATGAATTGATACAAAAATCAAAAAACAAAAACTTATCGGAATGTAACCTTATATTACTTTACAGAGCTTTTCAGGGCTGAAAGTAAATCGCGAAAGCGAGGCAGCCTGCCGACGGGCATGAAGTTTAAGAATAAGAAATTGAAAAAAGCGCAAGACAAAAGGAAGTGATACATTACAATAAATACAAAAACTGTTAATTGTACTAAAGAAAATCTTAGTTTTAGAAGGTACTTTCTCGATTTTGTTTTTATTAGAACACATAAAATATTATTCAATTCGAGGATTCCCAAGACGTCGTAGGCGTCGTAAAGTCTTAAAATGATTCGATGTAAAACTACGGTAAAATGGGTGTTGGGGGATCCGCAGGGATTAATATGTACCAATTATATACTTTCCATCACTTTAAAGACATTTGAGTGCAGTCACAAGTCTAAAGAGATTTTAGCCGTTATTTGTCGTATAAAAATTCGACTTTAAAACTTAACGGCGCTTTCGACGTCTCATGAACTCCATAAATATCACTTAATTCTACCGAATTTTTAACAAATGCTTTTCTGAATTTCAACAATTTTAAAGGAGTTTAGCTAAACATACGCTGTACTAAATTCTTATAGAGCTCGTTACTAGATTTCCAACTTTCCTGTATGCGTTGAAGTAGTTTAGCGAAATCCTTTTTCTCTTGATAATTTGGTACACGTTCGATCGTTTGTTTTGCTTTCTCAAATTCTTTAAGATGGTAAAATGCCGTTGCTCGTCTGTAAATACTTTTTTCTGTTGCATCTGGCTGTTCTTCGACACATTTTGTCTGATATAGTACATCTTCGTAGCGCTTTTGATTCAACAAGCAAGCCGCCAGATTTGTTTGTACTTGTGTGAATAACTTCTGCATATCTTCACCTGACATGCCATCTGCACTAACTGTCAACCCTTCGTGGGGCTTATAAGAGATCAAGCACTTAGCGGCGCGTACAAAATATTCGTGTGCAAAGAGTGGATATTCCTTGAACATTATCACACCATTTTCCTTGTATCGCAACGCTAGCGCATACATTTCTGGCACATTTAATTTCTGTATTTCTTTTGATTCTTCTATGCTTATAAGTGTTAAAACAAAACTTATTTCCTCACGTTTTGTGGCAATGAAGCAACGTGCACGTTCACCCATCACTAGCTGGCGCACAAGCAATTCAACATAGCAGTCAACTGGCGTAAGTGCGGTGCCCATTTCAAGTAGCTGCTCTTGGCCAAGCGCCTCGTCTACTAGGTATTGGCTTTTACGTCCATTCAGATTGCGTACATCTTCGACTTTTATGACAACCTTTGATACCAAATGGGGTTTATCCAGATATTTGAAATTTTCGAGGGAAAGCACTTGTTTGCGCAAACCCCTGCGTGGCATTGACCACTCCGTTCCAATATACCATGACATAGGCTTATATTTTTCCATTATAAATTAGCTGTTTTTTCCAAGAGTTTTAAGGAAAAGATTAGTTCGTGTTTCAGTTCAGTGAAGTTTATATGAGTTTAAGGATTAATGAGACAATTTGCCTTTGGATTTCCCCCCAACATTCCAGAAAGGACAAAGATTACCTTTTTTGTTGAGGTTTGCTCAGCAGGTGTATACAGAAGTAGCTCTGTATGTAGCCACTTTTAAGCTGTCCCACAAGAACTCCAACTCAGTTTATTTATTTTCGCGGTGAAAAGTGCTTAAAACCTCGATTTGTTGATTTTTGCAATATTGACATTTGTGACCAAGATGTTTTTCTTTTCCTTTGAAACAACATCATTGACATTTCGAACAGAGATCGTATAATTTGACATATTTGACATTATTTACGTTCTCTGAAAATTAAAAAAGTGCTTCCAAATTCCAGCCACATTTGCTTCATTCGCATAGCGGAAGCGGTTAGTATGAATTTTTCCGGTTGTATTAAGTTCCTGTTTGTGATCCAAAAATTGAAGACGATGTCCAGCATGCGTAACATGGTTAAATCCCGAGTGGATAAATTGAGAAAATATTGAATTTCTATGATTCAATAGTTTAATCCTTTGTCTTTGCGGGTTGAATTTACGAACTGACCCAAATTCTTTATTCACATAAAAATGTCAAGTTATAGAACTATTATTTAACAGTCCACCAAACTGTACATTCAATAAAATGTACTAATGGCTTCTACAGTTCCGAACAACAGATTCCTATCTTAATTTTTCCTGAAATCTTTTCTTCGCCAATTGCCTTTATCCATTAGAAAGCTCCGCCAAATATTCATACCAAATCAGTGTTGCTAGATTTAAAAAAAAAAAACTGCAACTTTCAAAACCGGAGGGAGTTTTGGAAAATTGAGGTTTTTACCCATATTACTGGAATGCAGCTAAACCTATTTTTATCAGGATACACATCGCCCCTTTATATCTTAAAAAACAAACAAATAGAAATTTTATTTATTTAATGAATTTAGAATAAAAATAATTGTACTAAGAGGTTTTTAATCACCTCTAAACTCTAAAACAAACTGTAATTTGGAGTTAAGATCGTCAATATCGGAGTACTGTACCGAGTGTGGTTGATCCTTCCTCCTTATTTGTTTACGCCATTCTTAACCCATTCTTGGGGTGAAATATCGCTGAAATAAAAGAAATTAACAACAGCAACACCCTGCGAGAGGTGAATGTCCTAGCCTATTTGATCACATAAAAAGCTGTAAGAGTATAGAATTTTATTTTATATATAAAAACGGCTTTCTTTCAATTTTTTGGTTTATTTTAACTTTATTGGCTTTGCTCCATTTCATACGCACGTGTACGTACATATGTATGTATGCATTATGCTCCTCTTTAATTTATTTTATTATCAGTTTTGGCTTATTTTGTAATGCAAAACGAACTACTCTAATAACTTATTACAATAAAACTTCCTTTTCAACTGCATTCGCATACATATGGTAAATTTCGCCATCGTCATTATATTTATATAATAAATTGATATTTTTAGTTTGTTTTATAAATTTGAATTAGCATTTACAATTGCAGACCCAACACTATTTGATCCATGGTTCGGTTCGATGCGGCTCCTAACTATTAACTATTCAGTGCAATATGTATATAGTTTTTCATATTAAAGTAATGATGGTGTTTTTATTATTAAATTAAAGGAAAAATAAATAAATAAAATTCATAATTGGGCATAATAGATAAAATTACAATTTTCACGTATAAAAATGTATACAATTTTATGTTGATGATTTGAAATGTAAATAACTTAAATTAATTAAGTGTTTATTTATAATTATAATTTCTGTGTATAGGTTCATTTTTATTAATACTATTTATATAAACATAACTAATGGATCTTTGATAAATGTGTATATGTACATAAATACGTACGTATAGTTAAGTTATTCAAGTATGTACTCATGCATTAACATGTATGTACGTAAGTGTGTTGATGTTTCATTATTTTTTTCTAATTGCAACATTTACTTCAGAAAAAAGTAGTTTAACTTTTTTTCGTATAACTTCGTTTTGGTGTTATCGATCGTCAATGATGTAAGGAATAAAAATATATAGTGAATTTAATAAGTGTAAATATACTACTGGATGCTTTTGCGCATAGCATTGTGTTTAACGAAAATATTCTTTTGTAAAAATTTGCATGCAATAATTGAGTGAAAATTAAAAAATTAAAGAAGTGTTTTTATTCTTTCGCTGGTTTGCTGTTTTACACAAATAATCTGTTAACATTTTTAAGAACTTCATTTAACTTCAGCTGGCAATTAGCTATTTTGCATACTCCTGTGACATGTGTTGTAACATATTTTTACTTCAAAATCGTGTGATGTTTATTAAGTTTTTATTTTGGCTCCTCAATTCAATTGCTATTGCTTTTTGATTTTATTTCCTTGCTTTTTTATTTTATCATTCTTCAAATATTTTGTTTTGTTAGGAATTCAATTTTTCTTTTACTGCATTGTTAAAAAGCCTAAAAACTTCTTAATGTGTACCATTTTAATTTCAATTAAAATTCGCATTAAAATAGTTTACTTCTGTGATAGTATAATGCTGGTCAACTATAGCAGTTGCATTTGAATTTTCAGCTTGCACTTTTTCAAACACTAACAACTATTCTTTGTGTGTCATTTGAAATCCTTCATTGTGTTTCCTCTTCATTTCTTATCAAATCGATTAAATCTCGCTTGCTTTTGCTGGTTTTGCTATTTATTTCTTTTACTGTTTTTTTTTTTTTATATTCGTTGACTAGAAATTAATACAAAAAATATCTTATTTAGCATTAAACATACCTGGGTAAGTCTTAAAACAAAATTTTTTGTATGTATGTGTATAAATATTCAAGTCTTAATACATCTAAGAAACTAAAACGTATTCACGCAATATAGTTTTCAAGTTAACTTAATCTAAATTAACATAACTTATACAACAACAAAAAAATATTAAGGAAAATAGTTTGCTGAATACTTTTGACAAGCAAGTTTATTGATGGTTATTCTACAAAACAACATTATTTACAGTCTGCGTTAAAAGCGAAAATACTATACATACACAATAATGGTCTTATTCATAAAAAAATAAATTAAGTTTAAAGAACTCTATAAAGTGACATGTTCATAGAAATTTTCGATTTATAAAGCAGTTAAAGTATTCTTTATTTTGCATGAGTTTGGGTGTTATGTTTTTCTTTTTTTATTAAAAAACAGCTTACGTGATATTATTTGAAAATATTTAGATAAGCAGCTTAAATAAATTTTAGAAGGCAGCATAATATGAACATTTTTATTTCGGCTATATTTTTCGTTTCAAAAATCAAAATGTGCTTTGAACGCTATTATGGAAATGCATTGCTAAAGTCTACTTATAATGCTGTGTATGAAATAATTTGTTACTAAAAACTTGTTGAGAAACCAAATGCTAAAAAACATACTGTATTGAAATTTGTAGAAATTACGCATAAAAAAATGCATAATAAAGAGTGTAAACTGTAGTAATAAAATAAAATGTGTGCTTTTAATTCAATATTTGTTCGTCTTTCATTGCTTGTTTACTTTACATAGGCAGTTATTGTAGTAGGAATGGCATTTGTGCACAAATTGTACCCCAGACAATTTTCTTTTTATTTGGTAATTGCGGCAGTTTTGTTTGCAAAAAAAGAAGCAAAAATGAGGTGAGTGCACATTAAATAAATACAATTTTAGCTTAGCTGTTTTCTTTGTTGTTCTTTCTTTTGCAGTGCATAAAGGCTCATAACTAGGAATATGTTACCGATCAATTGAATCAAATGCTGCAGTAATGTGTCATACAACAGATACAAAGCTAATACCAAAAATCGAGCTAGTAAAAAAATATTGATGTTATGCGATTAATTAATTTCAAGAAAGGCTGATTTGATGGCAAGTTTTTTTTTATGGAGAAAAAAAAAATGAAATTTTGTTTAGGTTGCAAAGTGTTTTTGTTCTTTAAAAAACGCCAATTCGATAAAAAGAAATGCAGCGCTCGTAGATATTTTTCTTCCAATAAATTAATAAAAAAAAAGAGTCCCAAAAAATCAAAGTATTCAGCTCACAAGAAAAACAAATAAATCATATAAAAACACGCTCAGTTCTCTATCCAAATTTCTCAAGTCAGTTTGCAGCTCTCAAGAAAAAAAAAAATGCTGTTATATTTACAGCAACGGAATACAGCTCTCAAGAAAAATAACAATACATATTTTTGCGAGCTTTTACTTAACTTGCTCTGTATGTATGTATGCATGTTTGTTAGGGACAAATCTTGCAATAAATTTTTGACCAACTTCCCGACGACCTAGAGACTTGAAACTTCACAGCTGGCTCAGATCCCGATGACAATGCAATACGAAAGATGAGTTAATACGTTAGGTGGCGCACGAGTCGATATATTTGAAAACCCCGTATTTATAGTCACATTTGGTTTATATGTAATTAGAACGTATATTAACTACAGGAAAAGGAATAACTCCATTAAAATTTTTGTCGATAGGTGGTGCACGAGTCGATATATTTGGTAAACCAGTATTTATGGTCCGATTTCGTTCATATTAGAAAGCTTGCTTTAAAAATATTTGTTTTTACTATTAACTTATTCAGTATTATTTTGTCGTTTCTTGAAGGCATAAATATACGAACATTTTTGCTTGGGAGCTGCAAACTGATTTAAGAAATTTTGATAAAGAAAATTTATTTTTTATTTTTTTGAGTGTAATTTTATACGAAATTTTCGTCGTTCTTAAAAGTTGTATTCTAAGCTTTAGTAATGTAAGTGGGAAGTTTCATGCGTACAATTAAACAAAAAATTATTTAAAATTTACTAACGCAATTTTATATATGTAAAAAGCAATTTGAGAAAATGTCCATTGCATTACGCATAATTTGTAGTTTAATTTTTTAACATAAAATCAGCCTTTTAATTAATCACATAAGCGACGAATAAGATTTCTGCAACAATTTCATTTTTGCATTTGGCATTTTTTGAAAACTTAATAACAAATAAAGTAGCATGCCTACATATATATATTTCTTTTACATTAATTACAATTACAAATTCCTACATATGTATATTTAATTACAATTAAAATTTTGGTAGTCGCCAGCATAGGCTGTTTTCATTGTTTACTATCTTTTTTTTCATTTTATAAAATCACAATTTTAGAATATTGTTCTGTTTCAATGTTATTAATTATAATTTTTACTTTTAGGTCTAGTGCCAATTTACAATTTAAGTCATTCAGCGCTGCACTTACAATTCGTCTTTCATATTTTTTTTTATTATTATTATTATTTT